AACCACCCTAGGCCTCTAACAAAGAGCCTGAGGATGTATTGGAGGATACATGTAGCTGAATTTCCATTATTCATGGTGCTAAATCTGTTACCAGCAGGGCACTCCGCTACCTCCTCCCCCCCACCTCTCTGTGTTACAGCATTGAATCCATACCCCATTCTCAAATATGCACATGCAAGTTCCTCCAAACCTTGAAGTCTGCCTCCCTTGCAGACCCCTTGTGACAGACACCACCTTTCTAGTTTAGAAGGAGATGGGACATCAAGGAACCCCTAAACAAGGTGCCTTGATCTACTAGAGTGATTTGAGTCAGTAGGGCCTGTCCTCTTATTCCTCTCGCATCAGAGCTGAGTGTAATGCTGTCAGCCTGGAGAGAGGGAATCGCTTCTATAGGGAGATGTGGAGCAGGAGCCGGTCTTCAGTTCCATTGCCACATGGGATTTATCCACCACGGTCCTATTTTAAAGCTGGTTATGTTGTAGCTCCCACTTGGAAAATTAAGCGGTGCCTGGAATGCTGTCTGGTGCAATCCTGGTGATGGAGACAATCCCAGAACTTGTTCTGCAGAGCAGTGTCACTCTGCTTGTCTTTCCCCCCAGGTCGAATCCTAGATCTAAAGACTGGGACAGTCAAGAAGGAAGGCCAGCAGTCCATGAGAATGTGCATGGGCTCAAGGAGATCTTTCATATGTCGCATGAGGTAATACCGGGAAGCCTGCAGGGAATCGGGGTTGCACGAGTCCACGGTTACACCTGCTAACTGGCTGCTTACCAAATATCAGAGCAGTCCAGTTTTTCTCCAACTCTTTCATCCGCCTCAGGTTAGAGGAGAGAGAGGGGGGCTGTGTGAAACAGGGTTCAGCTCTGGAACACTTAATGTTTCCCCCCTGTGTTAAGGGGATTTGACAGCTCTCAGAAGTCCCCACAGGCAGCTCAGTAACTCCAGGTTCTGTTCCAGCTTGGCCATTGACTTGCTCTGACCTGGGGCAGGTCACCTAGCCCTCTGCTTCAGTACAGCAGGGCTTGTTACACCCTTGTATAGTGGGGATGGAGATAGATAAGGGTTTGTCTACACGTACAGTGCCTGCAGCAATACAGTTACACTGCCGCATTCTGCAGCTGCACCACCCTCAATGTCACTTCTCCTGTCACCATAGTGTTGTGTAAACCAAAAATTCAGTTGGTGTAATGGTATTGCCTGGGGATGTGGGTTTTTCACACTCTTGAGTGACACTGTTGTAAGTTTGTAGTATAGGCTGGGGCATGGTTCCTGTTTATAAAACACTCTGGAATCTTGAATAAAAGGGTAAAGTATCTTATTTACAGTCTTAATCTTTGGGGATTAAACTGTTGTTTTTTTTTTTTCCCCCCTCCTGACTGGTCCAGGTGCGGCAACAGCTCAGTAGATCCAGTCTCCATGAATAGGCTCAGCTTCTTGAGGAACCGATGCAGGTAAACTGAGCTGATAACCCTAGAGGATGATGAGACGAGTCTTGCACCACATTGAGTAGCAAAGTAAAATAGCTGAGAGCAGTGTGGGAGGGTTAGTACACAAAGCATGTGTGCGATGGCCTAGCACAGCCTTGATTGAGTGCTTCAAGATGTATGTTCGCAATGGAGAGAGGCCTTAGCAATGCCACTTTCCGCAAGACACTGTTAACAGGCCTGTCTGTGTGGGGGTGCGAGCTGTGGGAGGTGCTGATGGCTGCCTCACCTCCCCATGCCCTGTCCCCTTGGTCCAGCTCTGCCCCCAGCCTCTCTCTCTTATAGGAAGAAGCAGGGGAATGAGCCCCAGGCTTCCTTCTGCTGGCCAGAGCATGGGGGAGGGAGACTGGCCACGCTCCTCTCTGCCTTTCCCAGACTGTCCAGAATGGGCCCCAGGGCGGACTATGAAGGACTGTGGGGGGCAGGGTGCATTCGCACCCTTTGCACCTCCCCCTAAATACAGGCCTGGTTAATATGTCGATTAAAGCCTCAAATCATTATTCTGTGCAGTGTATAAATTAAAGGTCTAGCAGAACTGCACAAATGGAGGGTTTTCCCCATAGGCTTGAATGTATTTTATATTTGGAAGACAAGTAATGTTACTTTTAAAGGACATTAAGGAAGGCTGAGATCTTCAATCCTTGGAAATTACAGCACGTGTAATAGCTCATTGTCCACGCAGCTGACCTTAAGGACATAAGATGGACCATCTTGGATCAGACCAATAGCCCGGCTAGCCCAAAGTCCCGAATTCAGACAGTGGGCGGAGCCAGATGCTCCAGAGAATGACCAGGACCGGGCAGTTCGTCAGTCATCTAGTCCTGCATCCAGGCCCAGCTTTTAACAGTCAGTCTTGGGTTTGGGCTGCAATCTGCACTACGAAGTTAAGGCAGCTCGCATTGACCTAACTCTGCAATCGAACATCACTCCCGCTGACTAGGTCACCCACGACGCTGGTCTAACACCTTCGCCTCCGCAAGAGGTGAAACGCTTCGGTCATAGTGTCTGCGTAGACACGGGGTTACTTACATCTCCACACAGCCGGAACTCTCCCTGCCCTGGGGCTGACAGCCTGAGCTAGCTGGGACACCCAGAGCATGGGCTTGCATTGGGTAAACCACCGTCCATGGATCTAAATTAGATGTCATTAGGTGTGCAGGCTCAGGGACTACGCTCCATTTCAGTTATTTGATCAGTTCAAAATAAGATGAGCCTCTTAAAAATAGAAAGAATCATCTTAATGTTCTCTGCTCTAGGAATGGCTTGGGTGCAGTGAAAGACGGGGAGCCCCATTATGTGGTGGTCCACTGCACGGGATACATCAAAGCCTGGCCGCCCGCAGGTAAGGAATTATACCAGCTGTTTGGAACATTCTAGTTACCAACTCTGCTCTTAATCGAACCTGTGGTGTTGGCATGTTCTTGTTTTCCTTCGGTGCACGTGTCGCACTTAGAGACGAGCAGTCTGAAAGCAGTGATGTTTTGTGCCCATGTTTCAAAACTTAAAGAACTAAAGAGTGCCAAACTCTGCTGAATCGGTTCCTGTAGGTGTGAGGGTTTACAAAAGGTTGGGACGTTCCTGGTGGTCAGGAGAATGGGTCTTGCTTTCAAAAAAGTCTGCTAGAGAATCTGGTGCTGAAACGAGACCCGGGTTATCTTTTTTTCTTTCACTTTCATGTAACAGTCTGATTAAGTTGAAATCTACTTTGAATTTACCCAGTCAAATCCTTTTTGACTAGGGCTACGTCTAGACTGCTTTCTTCTGCTGAAAGGAGAAAAGCAAATTCAGAGTTAATTTGCAT